CCTGTAATTTCTACGTTCAACTTATTTGATCATGTAGCAGGAAAACCATAGATTTTTTTCCTGGAGTATTTAAAAGTAACAATTCCTTATAAAGAAATATTTTATTCAGATGACTCATGCTTAGGACTTCTGTTCCTTAAAAATCATCCATTTTTGCACAATGCGTATTATTTGTAAGGAAAACGAAGGGAAGACTACACTTCAGGATTCTGAATGACCACTGATACATTATTGTAGAGAAAATCAGATATCCTACCTACACTCGATTGTATGTCGTTATGGTAATGCACTACATATGTCTAAAATCACTTAACAATGCAAGAATATAGTGCACACATGGGCTGCATTCTGTAAGTAGGATTAACTATTGAATTCAACCAAGGTCTTCCCTGGGGACAGATTGCTGGAAAATACATCTACATGACATTTAAAAAAATAAATTAACCAATGACATTGACTCCCATGAGACACATTGTTTCTTGTACATTCAATTATTTCACAGTTTTCTGTAGCTCTCTGCTGACATCCCCATCCCAAATGACATAGAATTTCAAAAAATAAAGAAAAACAGAGCAACTGGAGCTATTCCATCTCTCCTGTATGAAGTGTTATGTACACAAAGGAAAGATTTCTGTACATGAGCACAGTGTGAACCACGACAGGGTGAGATCATGTCAGTTTGCGGCTGTTCTTGTTATGCTGTGGTCACATGTAAGTTGCCCAAGGGAGTGTACAAAGCCTGTTTTCTTCCTGACAAGGACCAGCAGGGATTGCTGGAAAGTAAAGAGAACAGAGTTATGGCAGGAGGTTTTAAATTTTCTCTTTAAAAAATGCTCTTCATTATAACTTTTCTTCTCGCTTTGGTGTATTTAGTTTTCCTCATCTGTAAAATAGGAATAACTATTTTATGTATTTAATATTTTTGCTGAGAATTAAATACCAGTAGATTGCCTGGCATACAATAGCTAATCCACACAGTCCACATCAACATTGGCTAACATTAATTAAACACCTATTATGTGCCTGGTACTGGCAAAAGACCCCCCAAAAAGGTAAATCATAGAAGGTAAAACTGATACTAGAGGAGCAAGCAGGGAGCTGATTTTCAAAGTTTTTATCAGCCAGTCTAAGAAGTTTGGATATTATCCTGAAGACAAAGGATAGCCTTCGAACTATTTTATAGAGAGGCTGGATAGCTTTAGATTTGTGACTTACAAAAATCATTCTGTCAGCATTGGTAAAGAGTGGACTAGAAGAGAAGCAGGCTAGAGGCAGCAGTAATCCAGGCTAGAAGTGATGCATGTGTGTTGGGGGGTGGAAGGTATGCCCCCAACTAAGACAATGGTGGACACCGGGAAAACATTTTTAAATAACTTTTTTTTTTGAGACAGAGTCTCACTCTGTCTCCCAGGCTGGAGTGTGGTGGTGCAATCTTGGCTCACTACAACCTCCGCCTCTTGGGTTGAAGCAATTCTCCCGCCTCAGTCTCCCGAGTAGCTGGGATTACAGGCGCATGCCATCATGCCCGGCTAATTTTTGTATTTTTAGTAGAGACGGGGTTTCCCCATGTTTGACCTAAGGTGATCTGCCCGCCCCGGCCTCCCAAAGTGCTGGGATTAAAGGTGTAAGCCACTGTGCCTGGCCAAAATAACTTTTTAAAAATTAACAAATACACTGTAGATTAGAAAATAAAAATATGCAAAAGGTTAAAAGTAGAAGTCATATGCAAACTTACTATTTGTAGCAAACCCCTATTAATATTTTTTGTGTGTTTACCATTACAGGATTTTTCCTATGTATGCCTACACAGATGTGTGTGTGTGTGTGTGTGTGTGTGTGTGTGTCTGTGTTATGTATACGTTTTTAAACTGGGATCTGCCACTCTGTACTGAGAGTTTTATGATGTGAATTTTCTCTTAATATATCATAAACAATTTTCCAGATCATTAAATATTGTTTGGTAAAATCAACTTACAAGACTACTTAATAATCCATTCTATAAATGCACCACAATTGATTTCACTCAAACCGCTAGTACTGTACATTTAAGATGTTCTTTTTTTCTTTTTTTGTTGTTTCTGCTATTAGTATAAACAACTCTGGGATAGATGTACTGAGTATTAAATTTTTGGAAACATCATGATTGTTTCCTCAGCACAGAGCCCTAGAAGTTGAAGTGGTAGGTTAAAAGCTATATTCCATTAAGGTTTCTGATACATATTGACGAATTGCTCTCCAGAAAAGCTGTATCAAATTATAGTCCCAGTAGCAGAGTCTATGAGTAGGAGATGAACTTGAGAGTGATGTCAAGGACGGAGTGCACTGGACTTGGGTGGGTAGAAGGGATGTTTCCTGGCAAAGTATCAGGGCAGAAGGAAGGTGAACTCTGTCAAGAGCAGCAAAGTAATAGGCAGGGCTAAGGAATAGGTGTCTGGATAGGTAAATGATAAGAAAAAGGTAAGATAACCAGGGGAGAGTGAAGAAAAGAGGGGAAAAGTAGGTCTTTAGTGAAATTATGGGCACTTTAATTTACTGCTTTCTTCAGCAAAAGTAGCAAATGTAGCAAACAGCTAGTCTTTTCACAGCATTTGGCACTTTGTGCTACCAAGGTCTCCAGTTATATTCATGCAAATCTGTTTACCAATTCTTTTCACCCAATAATCATTTATTAGGTGACTACCATGTGTCAAGTGCTGTTCTGGATGCTATGGGTATGGAGATGAATGAAACCTCCTCCCTGCCCTCAAGGAGCTCACAGTCTAGTAGTGGGGAAGACAGAAACATCCACAGACCGACACCCTACAGTGTGGTACAGGCTAGGACAGAGGTAAGTGCAGGGTCCCGTGGAAGCCAGAGGCCTAACATTGCTTTGTGCGTGCATGGATGTATGTTGGGTGAGGGCTGTTGGGAAGGCTTCACAGAGGTGTTGACATACAAGCTGAGTCTTAAAGGCTGAGGAATTTCTTGCATGCCTAAGGGTCACAGATCATAGTCATATTCCTAATCAGTGCCTTGAATATTTGTGCTACCGCTCTCAAAGACACCGAGTAAGGTGGGAAGGACGTTTGTGTGTAATCCAAATCCATTCGAGTGATAACTATAGCTTCCACTGTCATCTTAATGAACATAGAAACACAGCATGTTTTGGCAATATTATCGCTCCCCATAGAATATAAAGGACAAGAGGCAAGGGGGGCATGCAGACTTTTAAAACAATTCTGGTAACACTGACATAATAATATTAACATCCACCAAGTCCTAATAATTTTACCTCCTAAATGTTTCTCGAATCTGTTCCCTCCTCTCACCTAACTACTCTTGGGTCTTTATTGTCTCTCTGTGGAACAGAGTAGCAGCCTCGTCATGTCCACCTCCACTGTATCCTTCCCACTGTCATTGTCCTTAAAGTAAAAATCTGATCATGGTGCTCTTCTAAAACATGTTAATGGTTTCTTATGGCCTGCAAGCAGCACTTCTCAAATTTCAGTCATTTGAGTATTACTTAGTGATTTTTACCATATTCACACACAATGTGTTCTATTATTACTTAACATTTGTCTTTAAATGAACTGAAAACTGGTTCACTTTCTATTTTTATGAAGTAAAATCTAAAGTAATCTTAGATGTGACGGCTTAGTTCAGTTTTATGCTTTTTAAGACATATTTGAATATGTAACTAGTAAAATTAAAATGTTTGTGGGAGCACAATGTAACTACCACTGGCAGATGCCCTACGTTTTAATAACCACTGACCTATGGGGGCGCAATCCAACTTAGGATTGCAATCAAGATTCTTCACAACTCAGCCCCAACCTCTTTCCAGACTCTTCTCCTACCCATTACACTTCCCTTTTCCTCAACAATCTGCACTCCAGCCATGCTGAATTCTTCCACATTGAATGAACATGCCCTACTCTTACACAGCCACACATCTTTCACAGACTGACTCCTCTACCTGGAATGCCTCCCCTCCACTCCTTCCCTGCCTGGGGCAAACTCACTATCCTTTAAGACCTATCTGTCATGTCACCTCTGCAAGGAAGCCTTCTCCCTGAGTCTCCCCTACAGTAAGTCACACCTTCCTTTATCCCTCCATAGCACTTTGTACCTGTCTCTGTTATACTACACACTACAGTATCTCAGAACTGTGGACATCTAGCTCCCCAACTAGACCCCAGGAAGAGTTCACACCTTGTACTTCATTGTTTCTCCAATACTTCACGTGGGCAGAGGTCATGAAAGAGATCTAGTGTCCCAGGTAACTTGTTAAAATGCTAAAATAAGATAAATCCAAAGTACTATCAAGGTTCAAATAGCTTAGAGGTATGATATGTGTTATAAAGAGAATCATCTAATTCAGAAATAGCCATACTAACTATGGTTTTGGGAGACACAATTAGCTACAGTTGCAATGACAGTTAATTTGGTTTTGGCAGCTACTTTACAGCAAATACATTCTGACATAGAAATCTGAAGTGAATCATTTGGGTTTTGATCAGGATGATCAACTATACCTATCTCTCCTTACCACAACTGGAAAGTCAAAAACAAGAATGAACATTGGGAGCAGCAAACCATGTTGAACAGAGTATGGGCTTTGGAGTCAGAAATCTGTGTACTCAAACCTCAACTTATAATCTATGTGACTTAAGTAGATTGTTTAACTTCTGTGCATTTTAGTGTTTTCTTCTAGGAAAAAAAAAAACAGGAATAATAGTATCTACTTCATAACTCTCTTAAGATAATGCAACAAAGTATTTATGATGATGACTAGGACATTATGTGTGTTCAATAAATAGCAGTCATTATTGTCACCCAATGAGATGACTACAATTCAGATAATGTGATGCACGGGGACAGCAAATGCATTTCTTAAGAAAATAAATTGATGTCTCTAGGCTTTAAAGTTGACAGCTACAGACTGTAGCTAAGAATAGCTACAAACAAAACATCTGCAAGACAAGCTTCTTCTTGGATTTAAACTCACACCTGGAACATACCATCACACTTCTTTGTGTTCTCCAAGAATTGATCTCAAATCAGGTTCCCTAGGATGAAAAGAAAAATCATCCAATCTTAATTTTTGCCTTCAATTTTATTTGATACAGAATAATATCCAAACTATGTGTATGTTTCAAAGTGTCATGTTATGACCCCAATCTTCTTCACCCTATTTATTTCCCAGTATATTTGTGCTGATCTCTTTTATTCCAATCAGGCAAGCCCACCTGTCTCACAGTGCTCCCTCTTCTGTTTACCCTTCTCAAAGTCCAATCTCAGTAGCAGGAAGCATTTTCTCCCTCCTCTTTGACAACTTCAAATCCCCTGTACTCTGCTGGAGCCCAAATTAAAATTCACCTCCTTCACAAAGCCTGAAAGCGGGATGAGGGCTTCAGCACTTCCCGGGTTAGGCTTGAACTTCCATAGATGAACTCACCACCCCCATCAGTATGCTCTTCCACTGACCCCCTTAGCATTTTTTGCACGCGTTTGTAATAATACAATGATTAATACGGTCTGTTTCATAGGGTCTACTTTATTCTGTAGAATAAAGGTGTGCCCCCTAAATGTTTGTCAACATTAGTGCTATCCGTCTTTGCTAGAAACCCCTAAAGCGCTGGGTTTTTATAACCAGTCTAACTTGCCTTTTACTCTCATCCGAACCCTGTACTGAACCTTAAACACACATTTCTCAAAAGCGAGATTCCTTCCCTCTTTTGCTTCCCATCCCTTCTAGAAATTGAGGGGAAACCCTTCCCACTCCAAAGACCTGGTGGGGGAAGTGGCAGGTGGCTGAGGGGCCAGTAAAGAGATGGCGAGCAATTAAGGAGGCAAAAAGAGAAAGTTTGAAAAAAAATCACGCCCTGGGCATGGCCAGGAATTCCCATGCCCCAGAGGAAATGGGGAGTGTAGCGCAGGGAGGGTTATATGCCCAAACATGAAATACAAATTGAGGGAAAAGAGGAAAGAGATCACCCAACTCCTGCGGTAAGAATTAAAGTCTAGTCACCGCCTAGGCAAAACCCTGGACGCGAACCCCAACTTCGGACCTCTGAGGAGGCACAGCGCCAAGGGCAGGCGGGCGGCGTTGTGGGAAAAGAAAAGGGGCGGGCCAGTTGGAAGAAAAAAAAAAAAGAGCAAAGAGAGCGCGCTCCTGGGCTCATGAGAACTGGCGCCTAGAGCTCAAAAGCCCACCCCGGACTCCCAGTCCCGACACCCCCTCCCCTGCAGAGGCGGAGCTGGGCGGAGTTAGGCGCTGAGGACCGCGGCCCCGGAAGCACCCTCTTCCCTAGGCCCCCTCAGTCCCACAGTCCCCAGCCACGGCCACTGGGGCTTTCTGCCTCTCTGACCTCCAGCTCCCCGGCTACCGAAGCGCTAGTCCTTAAACAGCCGCGGAAAATCAGGTCGGTGCGGCAGCTCCTGGGCGCGTAGTGCCCTCGCTGCGCCCCACGCCGCGCCACTCTCGTCCGAAATGCCAGCCTCGCGCCTCCAGGCCTAGACCCGGCACTCCGACCCAAGGCAGGACTCTCACCCACAAGGTGCCCACTGCGGCGTCTCCCATTGGCTACTGGTCACCGGGGAAGCCGGAGGCCCGAGCCCATGGCTTCATGGGAAATGTAGTTTGAGGTCGCTGAAGGCTGTTCTTCCTGAGGGTATCCCGTATAGACATTGGCGGAGAGACGCAAGTGAAGACCGAGAATTATGGGAGATGGAGTCGCGGGACACTTACTTCTCTAAACACACAATTCTTCCCCTCCCCTTCCGATTGTCCCCAGCGTTCAGACGGGGAAGGGCATTCTGGGTATTGTAGTTTAGAATGCACTGTCTTAGAGAATCTCTCTTGGGGTTATGGCTTTGTGCTTGTGGGGACAGAGGAAGGCTCTAGATTTATTTTCATGTCGGTTAAGCTCTTAGCATTTTGCGGGAAGCACTTTCAATCGTCATTTGAAATTGTTATTGAGTTTTAAGTGTTTTTCAAAAGATGATGTTTATTCTTTGATAAGCTTAGAATTTTAATTGAGAGTTGTAGTCCTTTAAAACTGTTAAAGTGTGTTCTTTGTGAACCACCTGCATCAAAATCACTTGAAAGGTACAGAAGAATGTATATAGTTTTTCTAACTGGGAATTATAGCTCCCCCTAGGAACAGTGTCATAAATAGGCATAGAAATGTGATCTACAGAAGCCCAGAGGAAGCCTATTTAATCCACAATGAAACTATGTTGTTGCCATGAAAAACAGTGGCCACATAAACTGCTATAAATAACAGTTTAGAACAGATAGACAATACAACTTAAGTACAAACGAGTAACTATATGTGTCTTTAAGAAACTTTATCTTTTGAGTAAAACTATGTAACAAGAGCTGGACATAGGTGGGGAATGCCAAGCACTTTCAAGTGACTTAAAGGTTGAGGAAAATGGTTGTTTATTAGGGCTAATTTCACTCCTAACTTTTGACCTCTTTTTGTCTCTGTTAGAGATGAATCCTTATAGCTTTATGGATTGTTACAGTTGAATTACTACAACTTCTTGATGAGGACAACTTTTGGACTCACAAGTAAAATGAAGGGAAAGACAGAGGAATTGCATTTTGCTAAGGTAATTGCTCAATATTTTAAAAAGATAAGTGAAGGAGGAAGATGATTTAATAAATTCAAACATTTATTCTGCATACTGCTTTGTACAAAGCTCTGCGCTAGGCACTGTTGCCACAAAATTGGAAAAATAGTCCCTGCCCTTGAGTAGCTCACAATCCAGGTGAGGGGAGTTATAGTGGAGGAGAATCTGGGGGGAGGAATAGATGAGTATACAATGTGAAAAATGCTGTAAAGAGGTCTACATAGAGTTCTATAGGAACATAGAGGAGGAAGAACTCATTCTACTTCTGGAGAACTGGTTGAAGAGCCAGTAAAATATTTGTCAGATTTGGGGCAGGGAGGTCAACCATATTCTATACAAAGCATGTGCAGAGGCATAAAGGCATGAAAGAGTGCAGAGAACAGTAACAAAAGTTCCATATTGCAGAGACTAGATCAGGCAGCAACAAGGGGTCATATCAAGTAGTTCATAATTTAACTTGAAAGTGGGAGAGAACCATCAGAGGAATTTTTGAGCTTATATAGTGTTTATTTTTTAAAGCATATACACATAGAACATACTGGGAGCACATATGCTAGGATATTATGGGGAATCATTCTGGAGGATGGTAATTGAATTGTTGTATTATGTTTTAATACTTTTTATACTTTTAAATTCCCCCAGGAAAATAATTTGCTTTTTCAAAAAAAGAAAAATAGGCTGGGCGTGGGGCTCATGCCTGTAACCCTAGCACTTTGGGACACCAAGTTGGGAGTATTGCTTGAGCCCAGGAGTTCGAGATCAGCTTGGGCAACATAATGAGACCTTGTCTCTACAAAAAATCAAGAAAATTAGCCAGGCATGGTGGCACATGCCTGTAGTCCCAGCTACTCAGGAAGCTGAAGCAGGAGGATCCCTTGAGCTCGGGAAGTTAGGACTGCAGTGAGCCAATATCATACCACTACACTCGAGTGTAGTGGGTGACAGAGCAAGACCCTGTCTCAAAACAAAATTTTTTTAAAGAAAAAGAAAAGAGAAAAAGAAAAATCACCTCATTTCAGCCATAAAAAGGAGAGAAACAAGGCATTTTCAGTATTATGGACACCAGAAAAACATTATGTGAATCAAATGCAGAATTTCTTTTCTCAGCTTTGTCTCCTTTCTTTTTATCTTTTTTTCATGACTCTTTACTTTGATTTGATCACTGATTTCAAAGTATTTGCAGAGCATCTACTATGTTCCATACACTGTGACAGGTTTTGGGTTTTAATGGTGAGTTAAAACATGGGTTCCTGTTCATCAAAGTAGTTCTAGCAGGAAATGGAATAATCAGATGGAGTTGGTAGATGTGGAAAGTGAGAGAAGGGGAGGAGTCCATTATGACTGCCAAGTTCTGACTTGGAAGACTAAGTGTATGGTAGTAGCATTCACTGAGATATTGAACCTAGAAAGAATAACAAGTTTTGTGAAGAATAGGAGGAAATCAGTTTTGGACATTTAAAATTTGAAGAGTCTGTGGAACTTTTGGTTGGAGATGCCTGATAGGCTGCTGAGAAATGTCGGTCGGAAGCTTGGGAGAGAGGTCTTGGTTGGAATTAAACATTTGGGAGACATTAGTATAATATAGATGGCAATTAAATAAGTGAAAAATTGTTTACACTTTACTTAGAGAGTATTATTTTTTTGAGACAGATTCTCACCCTGTCGCCCAGGCTGGAGTGCAGTGGCATGATCTCGGCTCACTGCAACCTCTGCCTCCGGGGTTTAAGCGATTCTCCTGCCTCAGCCTCCCAAGTAGCTGAGATTACAGGTACCTGCCACCACGGCCAGCTATTTTTTTTTTCTTTTTGTATTTTTAGTAGTGATGGGGCTTCACTGTATTGCCCAGGCTGGTCTAGAACTCCTGACCTCAAGTGATCCACCTGCCTTGGCCTCCCAAAGTTCTGGGATTACAGGTGTGAGCCACTGCACCCAGCAACTTAGAGAGTATTTAGAATAATAATTTTTAAAAAGACAAAGATTATGGAATCCTGGAAAATAATGATATTCAAGTAGCAGGTAGAAAAAGAGATGCCTTCCAAGGAAGCTGAGAGGGAATGGCCAAATAGATGAACCAAGAGAAAACAAAGTAGAATTACTGGCATATATTACAGAGAGGTCAAGTAGCAGGACAGAAGAGTAAGAAGAAATTACTCTTTCATCAATTTAACAAGTTTTTATTGAGTACCTGTAATGTGCCAGACATTATTCTAGATGCTGGGAATAGAAAAGTGGAAAACACACACAACATCCCTTCCTTTTGGAGGTTATATTCTATTAGGGAGAAACCATCAACAAACAAGATAAATAATTAAAATACATAGCTGTGATAAGTAATATTTCTTACTGTGTATGTCACAGCTGTGTATGGCTATTTCTGTATGGTGATATATATATACACACATATATACATCTCTCCAATAAGCCATATGGAAATTTTATATATAATATATAAAACATATCTATATCTCCAATAAGCCATATAGAAATTTTATATATAATATATATTATATATGAGCACAAATGTATACATATATTTCTATGTGTATATACAAAGGTGATACTCTTTGATCTGTTGTTATATAATAAGATGAATTTGTGAAATAGTGGCCCAGGGTCAAACAGTCTGGCTGGATTCAGAGATCAATTAGGAGGTCAAGGTTAGAGCTGTATCCAAAGCCATTATAGAGCCCAGGTCAAGGCCAGGGTTTATGTGTATAATGTAGAATGTATTTAGCTTCAATCTTTTCTCAGGTTAAGATTTAGTAAGTCTGTAGCTGTTTTTACAGGCCAATGTGGATTCATGATCAGAAGACCATCAAACCAAGTTTAGGGTTCAGCCTGATAGCAATGTTAGGCCCCAGATTTATAGCCATGGTTCAGTCTATGTCACAGATTAAAGTGCATCTCTGACCACACTGGACTAACAGCAGCCTCAGGGTGTTAAATCTCACTCTGAGGCTGCTGTAAGTCTAGAATGGCCTGGTTTATGAAGTCAAGATGTAAGATTTGGGTTCAAATTTTGGCCAGAATTAGGATTTAGTCTGTGTGTAGAAAGAGGCCTCTTCTAAAATAGAGTTAGGGCTCAGTCTGTGGACCAGACTTAGACCACACCCAAGGTTAGGGCTCAACTCAATGTTTGACTTTAGTTTTTGGTCAGTGTTGGAATCACTTTTATTTCTAGGCTTGAAAGTCAATAAAGGCCAGGACCATGACTCTGCCTGGGATTAGTCTTCATGCTGATGATGTTGCCTAGGGAAAAATGAAGTAAGAATATGAACAGGATTTATGTTCAGTCTTTCATCAGGTTAAGTTTCAATTTGTATTCATGGTTAGAGTTTATTCTGGGTCCAATAATTAAGTCTCAGTCTGTGGCCAATGGTAAGGCACAGTCAATGTCTAATATTGTCTGTTGCCATGTTAGGACATTACCTGTCATGTGCCCTAGAGCCTTGTCTCAAACGAGAGTTAGCATTTCATATATGGACAAAATTATGGTACAGTTTGTGGCCAAGATTTCAATGATGAATATGAACAGGATTTGGGATGCATATTTGGCTAGAGTAAGTTCAAGGTGTGATTTCTGACTTTAGCCAGTGTGAGGATTCTGTCTTTGTCCATAGCTCATATCAGGAATATTCTATGGAGCTAACTCACAGTGGCCTGTGTTGGCCCTCATTCTGTGGCCAGAGCAGGGCTCAGTCAGTGACTTGTGTTAGCCATTTCAATTTGGCCACTATCAGAGTTGAGTCTGGACGGAGTAGTTCCACTATGACTTTATGTAGCATTTGTGTTCACTGAGTATTGGTGATAGTGCTATCTGATTAAACTTGTACCAGAGTTTGGGAGTTACCAATGACCAAGGTAAGACTTACTATGAAGAAGGTTTTATGGCTAAGAGTGTAAACAGGTTTTTTGGATTAGCTGTTGATGTTATTTGTCAGTCTGTGGATAGAGTTGAGGTGAGAACAAACAACACATAAAATCCAGCTTGAAAGCTTT